TATATATATATATATATATATGTATTTACTGTTGTATGCTAGTAGGACTATGATACATAAATAAGTATAAGAATATAGTTAACACTTTAAACATCATATTCGTTGTTTTGGCTCTTTTCGAGTATTCTTGTTGGGTATACTGGTCAGTCCCAATCCCTCCAGTTAGTGAATAACTAAAGGGGTAGTTCTTAGACCTGTCAACACGGTCTAGCTCAAAAGTAGCAGACGAAAGGGTGATTTTTCGTTGGTCACAGCACAAACACTTTTTTACTAAACTCACTAAAAGACAGTTAAATTCAAAAATTAATCAGCATGCACACTAACTGTTAAGACCAACTAAAGGACCAGCAGTGCTATCATGACTCTAGCCACACACATAGTTTTAGAAACACTGATATAAAGTATTTAACCCAACTGTAAGTTTCAAACAGTTATATTTTATTTACAAAATGTACGAAACACAAAAATTAATTAAAGTACGAAATGTGACACAATATAAAATCAATCCTATACAATTACAAAATTTTATGTGTTTAATTGTTCTGACTGTAAACATGATGATCCTTGATAAAAAAGTCAATACTCCTTTATTTCTCTCGCATTCCTTTATACATTCTTATTCCCATCATTATTATATTGCTTAATCTGCATTTTTCTTTAATAAGACACTTTTATTTTACTTAAAAATTTTAATTTTCTTACTACTGTATTAAAGACTATACTATATTAATATGAGAATTTATTTAATCCATTTTCAGCTATTTACTACATTACTTCTTCAGTTTCCACAATAATGTATTTGTCAGGCGGAGCTAATGAATGGATATAATAAGGTATGAAAAGCTTATCCATCAAATGTTCCACAAGAACTTCATTGAGTATGTCCACTTTAAGGCTCAAAATATCATTTAAATAATGCAAATCATCCAAATGTGAGCTAACAAGATCTGCAAGTTTTACTCTATATTGGTCTCTAGAAATATAGTTATAAATTTAACACAAGTTTGTAATTGTGAAAAAACTAAAAATTAAAGAAATTGAATAGATACTGAATAGTTTTTTGAGTGTCTACATCAACAGGTTTAGCTCTTGCACTAGCATCTAATTCTAATACGTGTTTTCCCATAAACCACACTAAATTTCCAAAATATGGTGCACATGTTTTATCTCTAATAAAACGCAACATACTTTCATCTTCAACTTTATAAACATTTAATGTCAAAGTACGAACATAAGTCCGTACCATAGAATCTGGATGATTAAAAAACTTTATTGCTTCAGTATATAAAGGAAAGTCATTTGTAGCCTAATATAAACATATTTAAAATAAAAAACAATATATTTTAATTATATTAAATAATTTAATTAACTTACTTCATTGTAAAAAAAATGAATAGTATTTAAATTGAGTTTAAAAGACAGTGTTTTTAAGAATGATATGTAATATGCTAAAACATCTTCATCTGAAAAATCTAACTTATAAATAATAATGCTATTGACATGATTATTGCTTAGCAAGTAATCTAAAAAAAAAAAATAAGAAATTGAAAAATTTAGAATAAAGTTTGAAAAGTTAGAATAGAGCCGGCATGAGAGGAGGTATATTAAAGCCCTGTCCAACCATCATGTAGTTGCCTTTACTATAATAAACTTTTGATAATAAATAAATGCTATTGTTAAGACACTATAGTATTTGAATGATTGTTTAGATCGCTTTACTCTCACAAAGGCTCTAATAAGAAATAATAGTGTTAAATAACTTACATAATGCCGTTTTATTTTTTATATTTTCAAATATAATATTTAATGTTTGAAGAAGTTGTACACAAACATAATTACCACATTTTTGACCCATAATAAGTAAAAAATAATTAAACATATTGTTTTCTAAAAAAAAACTGAAAAAGAAAAATATANAAAAACAATATATTTTAATTATATTAAATAATTTAATTAACTTACTTCATTGTAAAAAAAATGAATAGTATTTAAATTGAGTTTAAAAGACAGTGTTTTTAAGAATGATATGTAATATGCTAAAACATCTTCATCTGAAAAATCTAACTTATAAATAATAATGCTATTGACATGATTATTGCTTAGCAAGTAATCTAAAAAAAAAATTGAAAAATTTAGAATAAAGTTTGAAAAGTTAGAATAGAGCCGGCATGAGAGGAGGTATATTAAAGCCATGTCCAACCATCATGTAGTTGCCTTTACTATAATAAACTTTTGTTAATAAATTAATGCTATTATTAAGACACTATAGTATTTGAATGATTGTTTAGATCGTTTTACTCTCACAAAGGCTCTAATAAGAAATAATAGTGTTAAATAACTTACATAATGCCGTTTTATTTTTTATATTTTCAAATATAATATTTAATGTTTGAAGAAGTTGTACACAAACATAATTACCACATTTTTGACCCATAATAAGTAAAAAATAATTAAACATATTGTTTTCTAAAAAAAAACTGAAAAAGAAAAATATAAAATTGAAATAATGTTAAAATTTACTTAAAATTATATGTTTTGTTATGTTTAATTATGTTATAATATAGTTTATAACATAACATAATATTGTATTAAATTCCAATTAGAAAGATTATATTATAGATAATATATATTCATGTATAGGGTGTTAACTAAGGACAAACAAGACATTCAATTTCTCAAAAACTACTAAATATTTAAAATTTTTGTATAGGAAAATATTGTATAACTTAAACAGAAGCCAATAAAATATCATCAGGATATTTATTCTTGTTATTGTAAGTGACAGATATAGTAACAAAAATTGTCAAAAACNGAAGCTAATAAAATATCATTAGGATATTTATTCTTGTTATTGTAAGTGACAGATATAGTAACAAAAATTGTCAATAAAAACTGTATGTTAAACAGTAAATTGGTCAAAAATTACTACTTATTTTTCTATAACATTAAAAAAAATTAAAGTTAATATTTTTTAGCTTTGAAATTATGATAAAAAAATGTATAAACAGTTATTTGAATCAAACAATTTTGTCCTTTACAAAATTAAAAATGTTGAATATTTTTTAGAAAAATATTTATTTAATTTAAGAAAATTAATGTCTTAACCTTAAGTGATCATACCTTTATATATTTGTGTGTGTGTTTTTATCATTAAGAATAACTACAAAAATGTTAATGAGTAAAAAGAAAGTATTTTAATAATTACTCAAATATCAACGGGTTGTTTTGATCACCCCATATTAAAATTTCAGCCATACTTCTAAATGATTCAACTAATAAAGTACGATTTGCATCAGTTACATTCTGATTTTTACTGAGTATGGTATGAATATATCTAAAAAATAAATAGTGAATCATTCAAGTATAAATTATGTACCAAATAATAAGTTGTTATAAATTAATGTATATACTTCAAATATTCTAATGAATGTAAATTTTCAGGCTTTACTATTTTTTTTGATCGAAACATTTTAATTATCAATCTTTAAACTAGTAGTATAATAAGCTAATTAGATATCTTTTTATTTAGATAAAAATTCATAGTAAAATAAATTTAACATTAATAAGTTGAGATTATGACAGTTATGATCTTAGGTTACTCAAGAAAAACTAAAAATTAACATGAAATTGCACAGTGAAATATTAATAAATTTACATAGGTTTTATATCAAAAAATATTAAAAACAAAATTTTAACAAAAGAAAAAATTATTTTATTAATACATAAGGATATATACGTATTATTATTTTGATATGATATGCATGAATCATGATTTATGTTGATAATTATTTTTACTATGATAACAAATTATTTATAAGATTTCCCACAACAAACAGCTGCTTATATTAATATAATATTTTTTAAGTTATTATTTAAAAAAGAAATCTAATTAATGAAGTCCTCAAATTCTGGATAAATTCTAAAATTATTTATTTGATTTTATTAAAAAAATCTTCTTATGATTGATCATTTTTATGATTTTTTAATTCAAGTCATCATAATATTTTTCTGCCATGACATAGAATCTTCCATGGTAGAAGACTTTTTTTATTTACCGTGGGTGGAATCACTGGAATGTCCTTGCACTTGCTAAGCCCCGAAATCACTACCATCAGTTCTGATATTTTCCGATGTTTGATTCCCACATCAATAAAAATCATTTCATAGCTAATAAAAAACGATCTGTACATGTTAAATAATTACTGGATAACTTGTATTGCGAATTCCCGGTAGGTAGTGATCGGTTTCGGGTCAACCACGTAAAATGCAAGCGATCAAGTGTGTTGTGGTTGGCGACGGGTAAGTCGTTTAAGATATAATTTATATATTTACGTTATTTATTTTTTGTTTATTTATAACAATACGATTTGTAGTTGTCTATTATTTTTATTCGTAGTCTTCTTACTGGGATTTTATGTGATAGAGATGTAATTCCATTATCGAGTATTCGATTATCACTTATTAGAATTTATCGCCTTAAATTTTGTATTATAATTATGTACTAAGCCACCATATGACTTGATATTATAAGTTTTACCATTAATTAAGATATATATTTTGAATTCTTAAACGTTGTACACTTATTCCTTTTAATTTTCTTGAAGCTTTAATATAATTTGTAAAACAATTCACATGTGATGCACACCTGTTTGATTATTTTTTGTTATTTTTCTATTTAAATTATTAGTGTAATCTTTACTAGAATAGTTTTATATTAATATTTCATAAAATTTTTTTTTCCAGAGCGGTTGGTAAAACATGTTTACTTATAAGTTACACGAGCAATGCATTTCCTGGTGAATATATACCTACTGTGTAAGTTTTAATTTTGATTCATAGTATAAGAATATTTAAGTAGATATATATGAAATATATGGGTATTATTATGTAATATTTTGATTATAATTATCATGAAAAGTATGAATTACTTTTAATTGTCAAAAGTAATTGATATATTACAATTAATTTTAATCATTGTATAACGACTTTAATAAAACAAATATTTGTTTTGACCACATGTTTTTTTTTGCTTTTTAATTCATTTAATAAGCGTAAACATTATCTTAAATGTATGGCAAACACGATATGATTATGATTACCATATGATTTATGTGTCAATTACCTATTTAGTTAGTTAACGACTTGTACATAAAAATGTAAAACATTTTTTTGTTCTGCATTAAATATTTTAGCACATAAATATTATTTCTGTATAACTCAAATCAATATTATATTGATAATTTTAATCAATGAATTTTGTTAATAATCAATATTTGTTANAATCATTGTATAACGACTTGAATAAAACAAATATTTGTTTTGACCACATGTTTTTTTTTGCTTTTTAATTCATTTAATAAGCATAAATATTATCTTAAATGTATGACAAACACGTTATGATTATGATTACCATATGATTTATGTGTCAATTACCTATTTATAGTTAGTTAATGACTTGTACATAAAAATGTAAAACATTTTTTTGTTCTGCATTAAATATTTTAGCGCTTAAATATTATTTCTGTATAACTCAAATCAATATTATATTGATAATTTTAATCAATGAATTTTGTTAATAATCAATATTTGTTACTTAAATGTGTTTAATATATTCAAATTTATACTATAAGTAAATTATATTTTTGTTTAGGTTCGATAACTATTCAGCTAATGTGATGGTAGATGGTAAACCCATTAATTTAGGTCTATGGGATACTGCTGGTCAAGAAGATTATGATAGGCTAAGGCCTCTTTCATATCCACAAACAGTATGTTTAAAATAATTTATGTATTTATAAATAGAAATTAAAATTTTAATGCTTTCAAAACTCATTAATTATATAAAATAATAGACATTATTATTTTATATTAGTATAACTGTTTGTTTTTCAATGAATTTAAGATTGATTAATAAATAATTCAACTAATATGTAAAAAGTAAATAAAAAAAGAATAGTTAAGTATTTTTGATTGTTTTAAAATTACTACAAAAATGCAAGCTCACAATGTAATATTAATAAACTGAACATATCTATTATAACAATGTTGTCTTTTTGAGCAGCTCAAAAAAGATCTATTAAATTAATTAAATATTTTCTTTTTTCCTTACCTTTATCCCAACTACTTGTGGTTGGACACCATTATCTTAAACTTCCATTTGACACAATTTTTTACATTATTTATGCACACATAAGCCCTTGTTACATTCAATAACATCCCTCCATCTTTTTTATGGTCATCCTCTATCTCTTCCTTTAACATTCATTTCTGTAACTGTTCTTATATCTTTTGATTCTTCTCTCTTCATAACATGACCAAACCATCTAAGTCATTGGACTTCTCTTATCGCATAACACTACAAGTTTCTCTCCACTTCACCCATCTGCAATTATACCTGTGTCTTATGTCCTCATTAATGCCATCATTCTTTTGCATAACTGATCTCTTAAAATATTCTATCTCTCTTATCACGCGCTCTCTTTTTGTCACTGATCTCATTTCATCTACCTCGTGTTCTCTTTTAAGAAAAGGCATTGAAATGTATAGTTAAATTAATTGTACATTTACTCTAATAAANCTATGGGATACTGCTGGTCAAGAAGATTATGATAGGCTAAGGCCTCTTTCATATCCACAAACAGTATGTTTAAAATAATTTATGTATTTATAAATAGAAATTAAAATTTTAATGCTTTCAAAACTCATTAATTATATAAAATAATAGACATTATTATTTTATATTAGTATAACTGTTTGTTTTTCAATGAATTTAAGATTGATTAATAAATAATTCAACTAATATGTAAAAAGTAAATGAAAAAAGAATATTTAAGTATTTTTGATTGTTTTAAAATTACTACAAAAATTCAAGCTCACAATGTAATATTAATAAACTGAACATATCTATTAGTAACAATGTTGTCTTTTTGAGCAGCTCAAAAAAGATCTATTAAATGAATTAAATATCTTCTTTTTTCCTCACCTTTATCTCAACTACTTGCGGTTGGACACCATTATCCTAAACTTCCATTTGACACAATTTTTAACATTATTTATGCACACATAAGCCATTGTTACATTCAATAACATCCTTCCATCTTTTTTATGGTCATCCTCTATCTCTTCTTCCTTTAACATTCATTTCTGTAACTGTTCTTATATCTTTTGATTCTTCTCTCTTTATAACATGCCCAAACCATCTAAGTCATTGAACTTCTATTATCGCATAACACTACAAGTTTCTCTCCACTTCACCCATCTGCAATTATACCTGTGTCTTATGTCCTCATTCATACCATCATTCTATTGCACAACTGATCTCTTAAAATATTCTATCTCTCTTATCATGCGCTTGCTTTTTGTCACTGATCTCCTCATTTCATCTACCTCGTGTTCTCTTTTAAGAAAAGGCATTGAAATGTATAGTTAAATTAATTGTACATTTACTCTAATAAATTGTAGTTAAATTAGATTTAAAAAAACTTCTTGGTGTAGTCTTAATGATAATGTTAGTTAATTAATGTTTTTTTTAGAATTTCTATCATGAAAATATTTTTATATTGTATAATTGTAAATAATTTATAGAAGAAATGTTAGAATATTCTTAATTTTTTTATTATTAACAACTTCATGTATAATCATAAAAAATAAATAATTATATTCATCAATTGTATTATTTTTAAAATATATTAATGTTTTTTATTTACAGGATGTGTTTCTCATTTGTTTTTCATTAGTAAATCCAGCATCATTTGAAAATGTTCGAGCCAAAGTATGTTTTGTTTTTTTTTTAGTAATAATAATATTGACATATTTTTGCAATATTTGAATACATTATTTTAGTGGTATCCTGAAGTTAGACATCATTGTCCTAGTACTCCAATTATATTAGTTGGTACCAAACTTGATTTACGAGAGGATAAGGAAACAATAGATAAGTTAAAAGAAAAAAAGCTAACTGCTATAACATATCCACAGGTATGTTTAATTATAACTAATACATTTTTTTAAATCATTATTTGATATTTTTAGCTTGTATTTTATGTTTAGGGTCTTTCTATGGCCAAAGAAATCGGAGCGGTGAAATATTTAGAATGTAGTNATCATTGTTTGATATTTTTAGCTTGTATTTTATGTTTAGGGTCTTTCTATGGCCAAAGAAATCGGAGCGGTGAAATATTTAGAATGTAGTGCATTAACCCAAAAGGGCTTAAAAATTGTATTTGATGAAGCTATTAGAGCGGTTTTATGTCCAGTACTGCCAGTTAAACCTAAGCGCAAATGCATAATAATATAACAATCATGACGATGTTGTCACTGGTAAAATGTAATTTATATATTAATTACTAGTATTTTTATTTTTATTTTATTATAAAGTCTATTTAATTTTTAATAAACGAATTTCTTAATAATATACTATACATTTATTTGTCATGTTTTATTTGAAAAAATCTTTTCTTATATAGATATTGAGGGCATAATTCATGAATTAGTAAACTATAAAAATGCTATTAAGATATTGTTTGTAATACTTAAATGATCAAATCTATCATATTTACATTATTTAAGGGAGGTATTGAGGATTAAATCATTTTGTTACAAATTTTATTATGTATAATCTAATTATATTAAAAATAATGGGGAATTTCAATTTACAAATCTTTTTATAAATTTATATTTATGCCTCTAGTCTAGGAAAGACTAGAATAAAGAAGTATTTTTGTAATTGAATCACCATCTATTTCTAAAATTCCAATTGGTAACAAGCATCTATAAGAATCATTGGGGGAAATTGATAAAATCACACTTAGCCCCCCAAATAATGTATGCCTTCACCTCTTATGTCAAGTTAGAAATTTTTAAAAATTGACTGAAAAATCACGGAAAATCAAGGATATTAATTTTTTAAATTTGTGGCAACCATTTTTTAATAAATATTATTTACTGTTAAGATTGAGATATGTAACTGCTTTGTCTTTAGTAAAAATTAACCTTTAATTTTATTATTTTAGGGACTTAACATCCTACAGTGGATTGTCCAAGACTGATAACCATCAGTTCATCGATCGTTACACATATTTGTGTATAAAAACTAACAAAAACAAAAGTTCTTCCTTCAAAATAATTGTGCGCACATAATAATTATTATGTATTGTATAGTATGGTAAGAAATTTATATATTAACTAGGGACCTATATTTCTGTTGAACAAACTTATGGCCTAATTTTTATAGTCTAATCATGTAATCTAGATAGCTTAATAATTTTTATATGAAAATTTATGTTTAAATATTCTCTAAGTTATTTGATTATCTAATATTATAAATTAATACATACAATTTTTATTGTGAATTTTTTTTCTGATAAATTTAACAATTAGTTTTTCTTTTTGAGTTGCCAGGTGCTACTTATTTTCTGTATTTTATTAAAGCATTATTTTAATTGGTGATTTGGCCGAAATTTTATGTATCAGAAAATAATTATTTTGTTTGGAATAAATAATATTATTTAGTCTATTTATAACTTTGAGTTATGCATTGATCTATTACCAACAGAATTTTAAATTCATTGTATAAATACAATTTATTATTATAATATACAGTTTAAAAGTAGCACTATTATAATCAAAAAATATTTTATTTATTTTATTATTTATTTATTGCTTTTTACTGAAAAAATTCAAATTAAGCACTATGTAAAAATTTATTAAAAGTGTTTAAGAATTGTGTATAACTTAAAAGTAATTTGCATTTTCAATGATATAGATAACAAAAAAATATAATGTACATACAAATATTTGACTTATGTACAAAATCTTACAAAAATTTATAGTATTATAACATTTTATTGTTATCATATTAAAATTAAGTTAAAATATCAGAAAATAAATGTTATACTATTTTCTTTTTTAATTGGGTTTTCTTTATTAATTTTGTTAAACCTAGACACATGACAAATAAGTTGTGTACATTTTTTCTTATATTTATTTTTATTATAACTTCTTTTGTACAATATCATTATCTTTTATTTGAACCATGTAATTTTTAAATAAATGATATATATTGTATAAAATAAGATAGTTTTATTTGTCTAATTGAATACTATATATCAACCAAATAAGATTTTATAAAGTCACAACTGTGATTAATGATTTCTAACATTAGAACTTGTTAAAACATTTTTTTTTAAACCAATACTACATTTATTGTATTTTATAGTTATTTTATTTATATCAATTATTTTATTTTATTTATATAATATTTAATATTGTTTTATGGCTAATGGTGATATTTTAACCATGGATCTTATTCAACCTATTTTTTAGTTTTTGTAACTTAATTTTTAATTCAATAATTTGTTAACCATTATATTTCAATAATTTAATAACCAATTGATTTTGGGACCACTGTAGAACTTATATACATTTTTATATTGACCTAAAGCTCTGGTGTTCGCTCAACATAAATGCTTACAATTGTAATTTTTTACAGAAATGTTAACATAAATAATGTATCTCCTGTAACAAGTGTTTATGCAATTTTAATTTTAGTCATCTTAGATTATAATTTTGTTACACGAATGCTTGCTTCATATTTCAAAATAACTTTGTATTAACATCTTAATTTTTAAATATGTATTTATGCAACTTGACATCAATTGTTTACAAGATTAAGTTTTAATTAAATTCTCTAGATGAATGAATGAATTTTCTTGTTTATCATTTTATATTAAAGGTTAATTCAAATTAATTTATTAATCAATATAAAATTGTCAGCTTGGCATGGAAACTCACTATCATTTTTGTAATTAATTTTTTCAAATTATTACTATCATTAAAAAAACAAATGTATAATTGTTTATTATTTCAATAAGATAATATACCCAACTGTATAAGTTTATAGGAGGGGGGCAAATGTGTTTTTGGTAAACTTTTTTTTATAAAGATGGTTAATAAGATGACATTATTAACATTTTCATAATTTTTATGAAAATAAACATTCATGTATATTTATTTTCTATGTGGCAATAATAAATTTAAAAAAAAATTGTTTTTCCATCAACTCATTATTATAAAAATTTCCTAGATATGTTCTGTATGTATGTATTTGAAAACAATGTATTTTAATGCATTATACATGTAAATGTATTTTATCAGGAATATACATATGGTGGGCTCAAAGCGCCCAAACCCCATTTGAAATTCATAGTCTCTAAATTTTTAATCCAAGATATTAACATGTAATATTATTTAAGTAATAAAAAAAAAAAAATCAAATTTAATATTTATCATTCTTTAGCTTCCCTCAAAAATAACTTCTGAAACCAAACTTTTATAATAGTCAATTTGAATTCTATATTACAGATATTTTTGAAAGTATCCACTTTACAATTTTTTTCAGTTGGT